GTGGAACAAGTATTGTACTTGGAGTCAGGCATGGCCTGGGTTTGAATCTCTCCTCAGACCATTACTAGCTATGTGAGCCTGGGTAAAACACATAACATATCTGAACCTTAGTTCTGTCATATGAAAAAATGAGGACAAGAATCCCAATTGCACTGATCTTCCAGGGTTCTTGCTCAACTGTCTCTGTGTTCTCATCCATGTAGCTAGTCCTTTTAATGAAGTAGATCCCATCCCCTCCATGTGTGCCTGTCCCATGTGACCTTGGTCTGTGGCCTCCTTTGAGTCGGCCACATGGGATTACTGTGGCTATCAGAGGAGATCACGGAACATGCTTTGCAAACTTTAAAGCACTGTATAAGTGGCAGCCAAAATGATGATGATGATGATGATGATGATAGCAGTTGGCATGCCCTAAGATGCTTCATTACAAATAGATATTTAAATTATGTAAACTTTTCTCCTTTTTCCATGTTTTTATTCAACAACTCAAGAAGCTTTTTCCACTCAATTGTATTTTAACTATGTACTATGCTATATTATGGCATACATACATACATATATACATACATACATACATACACACACACTTAACTATGTTATACATGTGTGCTAGGTCCTGGGAAGTGGTACAGAGCTTGGTCCTTGCCTTGATGGAACCTACAGCTTGTTATGGGGAAATGACACAAGCACAGATACCTGTGAGACACAGTTGTTTGAGATAAATATTAGAGAGAGGCAAAACCAAGTGCCATAGGACTGGGACGTGAACTAGGTGTTCATTACTAGTGGGAAGTGGAGTCCACTCATTGTGCTTCATTTTCCTTATACTTTGATAATAGACATGGAGCCAGAGTATCTGAGTTCAAATCCCAGTTCTACTATTAGTTACCTGCATGACCTTGGGTAAGCTATTTCATTTCTCTGGCACTCTTATTCCCACTAGGGGCTCATCCTGCTCTAAATTTATGCTTCCAAGATGGTTGGATGTCAGGAAGGAAGCCAGCAAGAGTGTGGATAGGAAGGGAGAGAAGACACAGGAAAGGGAGAGAGGAAAGCAAGTTGACAGTGAAGGGTGCCATGTTTCATAATGCCTGTTAAGTGTGGGAGTGCCACTAATCTCGAAAGGACTTCCGTCTTTCAGTCAGTCCCGGACATAGATATTAATTTCAGAGGATTTCCTTTTAAAGGTTGTTTGAATGTTTATCCTCCCTCGACTAACTCTAGAGCAGCTACACAGATTCATTAAAGATGAAAAATGAAACATGCCCGGTGAAGTATGCTACCACTCTTCTCATGTTGGCTAGTTATTGTGTTTCTGAACAGGACATAAAAACAGATAATGAAAGACATAAGTAAATAAAACAAGAAAATATCATTAAGCTGAATGCCTGACAGAAAATAGATTACACTAAACCAAACACAATTCTGATGCTGTTTTACAATAAAAATCGTTAATATGATTAAATAGATTTCTATCGTTCACACTGCTCTGGCTAATGAGATGATGTGTTTGGGGCAAGAGACAAATTCTGGGATTAAACATTTTAATTATTTCGGCACAAAATACATAAGCTTCGGAAAAGGATGGGATGCTTTTATTTCCCAAATTGCATCAGTCCTGACCTTTGGAGATTCCCTGGCTCTTCTTCCCTGAAGAGGAGTATCAAATGCAGAGTGATTAGATTCTTGCTAAATGCCAAAAAGGAGATGCCAGTAGGCTTCAAAGCTGGGTGTGAGGCCCCGGGCCCAGACAACTAAAGACAGCCTGAATCACCAAAGAAGCTCATCATTTCTCTACTTCTTTTTTTTTAAATGAATAAAACCCAATGTGGGCCCAGGGCCCACATTTTTACCAACCTCTCAGTTCAGTGTAAAGACTTTTTGCTGGCAGATCCTGAAAACAGAATTGGTTCAAATTATGTCCCCTATTTCTTTGCATTAACCAGCCAGTTAATTAATTAGCATTTATTTAAGCATCTTCTAAGTACCATGCAACTTTGCTAAGTGCTAGGGTTACCACCCCACCAAATGCAAAAGATACATAGTCCTGATTTCAAGAAACTTACAATCTAATGTGATGGGGGTGGGGCGGGGAAGGTGGTGGTAGGAACAACATACAAACACCTGTGTACAGGCAAGCTACATACAGGATAAATTGGAGATGATCAATAGAGGGCAGCCACTAGCATAAGGGGGTTTAGCAAGGGCTTCTTTCAGGAGGTGGGATTTTATTTATTTTTTTTTTGGCTGGGCAATAGGGTTAAGTGACTTGCCCAGGGTTACACAGCCAGTAAGTGTCAAGTGTCCGAGGCCAGATTTGAACTCAGATTCTCCTGACTCCAGGGCCAGTGCTGTATCCACTGCGTCTCTTAGCTGCCCCCAAGGAGGTAAAATTTTCACTGAAACTTGAAGGGAACCGGGGGAGCCAGGAGGAGGAGATGAGGAGGGAGTGAAAAGGAGGCATATGTAGACATTCAAGTCTTTGTATCTGACCTTGATGAGTTGGGTACAGCTGTCTGTTCATATATGTCCTGCTACAGGATTAGATACACACATTCGCTCTTTTTCAGACCTCATGTGCCCCTGGGGCAGAGGTTATTAACCCTGGTGAAGACTATGGACTTCTTCTCAAGAGAATTTTTAAAAATGCTTTAAATAAAATAGATAAGATTAAAAAGGAAACTGATTTTGTTGAAACATAGTTACTAAAGTTGTTAAAAAAAAAAACAAAAAAACAAAGAACAAGTTCATCCACCCTAGGTTAAGAACCTCTGACCTAAAAGGCAGGCATTATTAACTTTATTTATCACCTGGGGAGATGGGTGGAAAAGGGAGAAATAGCATTCTAGTTCTCCTTTGGAAGGATTTTCTTCCATTCCGTGGCTTTGGAGAGGATGAGATTTTTCCTGGAAAAGCCTCTTTTTAATTTTTTGCGCCCTTCCTTCAATATGTAAGTGGGGAAGGGAGATAGGGGAGGAAGGGAAGTAGAGGATGATAGGGTAATAGGATTTAGGGCTTGATGGAAAGTTAGAGGCCATCTATTCCAGCCCACTCCTTTTTCAGATTTGGAAACAGAGACCCTGAGAGTTTATGACTTGTCCAAGGTTATACTGCAAGAGACAGAACCAGGGCTTGAACTCAGGTGCCTAACTCAAAATCCAAACCTAGGTTCACTCTTCCAGACTCCGGACTCTTTCCACCATGCCATTTTTTTCCCCTACCACTTCAACTTTTACTGCCTCAGTGGTGGTCAGGGACCTGCTAAGAATGCCACCAATGTGGTAGAGACAGTATTGGACTGACCTCGAGTGAGAAGAAACCTGGGTCTGAGTCCTTTCTCTGACACTTACAGGTGGTGGGGATCTATGCTAGCCAGCTCTCCGAGGCGGGGAGTATGCTTACAACCTTTATGACCTTGGGCAAATCACGGAGGTTCCCTGGGCCCTTAGTTCTTTCCTCTGTAAAAAGAAGGGATTTGGACTAGTTGCCCTTTGAGATGCATTCCAGCCCTAAGTCTATGACCTTATTCCCCTAGGCCCACGCTACCACGCCCTTCTGAAAATTTCTTCTATAAGATTTAATGGTCCCAGACAAGCGGTCTCAACCTTTTACCAACGGAGAGCATTGCAACAATGGAGAGCATTTACAAATGCCACTCTTTACCTCAGTTTCCTTTTACTTGGTTAGTAGCTGGGCAGCGATATCTACAGTACCTAAAAATCATTAGTGCCTATATGTCCATCTTGCAGATTTGAACCTAAATCACTTAAAAGATGACTTCCCTCCTCCTCCTCCCCCCCAACCCCCCTATCAATACTACTTGCTTTATATTATTGTCTTTGGGAGCGCCCTTTGGGAGACTGGGGGTGGTTCCTAAGTCTTCAAAGAAGAACCCCTAGCCTAGCCAAGTGTACTTGGATATTTCCTGTTTCTCTTTCTATGGGGGCAAAAGTATGCTGACCATATTGCCTCCAACTGTTGATCCACAAAGAAATTTTTGGAAAAAATGGAGTGTTTGGACTTATTTTTAAAATACAACCAATCCATGAGTACAAGCAGACTCAGTGGCACCCAAACAGCCTTACCAGTATTCTTCGATCTTCATAGGTCATCCTGAAGAGACAGGAGAAGAATGGAAACCAAGATCCTTTACTATTGATCTATTTGACAGCATTACAGGTTCTAGGCATCCAGCCTTGTTATTTTCTTTGCATGTTTTTAGAATCACACGCTGTGTTTCCAAAACCATGAAGCTCCAAGGCTGTGGACACCAGTCCTACCATGTGGAGAGTAAAAATTATAATGGTTTATTTTATATCAGATATGTGTTTTTAAGATAACGGCTTTACTGAATTCAATAATTTTAAAAAGTAAATTCAAAGCCACTTCCATGGATAAACACAGCCTCAAATAGTGAGTATCAACTGGTTGGTAGATTATCAAAGCTGAAAGCTGACCACTTTGATTTCAAGTGAGTAACCCAACAGTCTCCTATCCCCACCCCAGCGAGATCAATCAATCAATCAATCAACCAACAAGTATTTATTAAGCACCTGTTAAACACCTTTATTAAACACCTAGGTGCTGGAGTGTATGAAGAATGAAATAATCTCTACTCCAAAAGCACTTACTCCTAATGGATATATGGATTTAGTGTTAAAGGACTCTTTCTCTCCCAATACAAAAAATTTTAGAAAAATGTTGGGAACTTCTATCATAGACTAATATGACACGTCTCCCTTGTCCCTTGGCCTCTTCCATCATTGTATGTGGGACTGGAACTGGGGTTTTATCCCAGGGTTCCCCTTCTTTAGTATCACACACTCAAGTTGCTCCCCTCCCACCCACCACTATTTCAACCTCTTCCCCCACCATTCTCTCTCACACACACACACAGACACACACACACACACACACACACAGACACACACACACACACACACACACACACACACACAAACACACACACAGAGCTTCCAGTCTGGCAGACAGTGACTCACTCAGAGAAGGAGTTGCTGGGGTTACTTTCTCTAATCATTAACTTCTGAGCTGAAGAGAAGGATCTTCAGGATAGACCTGCTTTTCATCAGATCTGAAACAAATTCCAGAGAAGGCCAAAGACTCCACAGATAGAAAACCCAAAGAGAGTTAGTTTAGTGGGACCACTGCATTATGGAGGCACAATTATGAAATAAAAAGCAGAAATAAGATCGCATTAGCTAAAAGGAACCAAGGGGAAGTCAAAGGCAAAAAAGCCTAAGCCCTGATGGAAATACAGTTTTTACCTCAGAGAACCACACAGAAGTTAGCAATTCAAATTCATTCAACATACATTCATTAAGCACCTATGTTCAAATTATTATAGGAAGGCTGGAGGCCTTCAAGGACAAAAATGAACCAGGCTTTGTATTTAAGGAACTTCTATTCTGATTGAGATATAATACATATACAGATGAATAAATACAAAGCAATTTGGAAATCATTAGCAACTGGCAAACTGAGGAAATCAAGGAAGGTGTCTCCCCAAAACAGATTTTTAAAAAAGAAAGTAAAGATTTTTACCTAACAACACATTCTCCTACCTGGAGGAGATCATGTACAGTGGAAAGAGCCTTAGGTTTGAGGTTGGAGGACCTGGGTTCCAGTGCTGGCTCGACCACTTTATGATCTATTGTGACCTTGGCAAAATCTCTTAACTGGGCCTATAACTATAAAATGAACAAGCTGAAGTGGGTGACCTGTGAGGTTTCTTCCAGCTCTAATGCTATGGTCTTACTATCTCTCGGACACATGTAAGTATTTCCTCAGCATATATCAGTCTCATCTAGCAGACACATATGCTATGTTTCTCTGGTCATGAAGATTTGAATGCCACTCTAAGAGTCTTTAGGGCATGCTGTTCGCTCTTAGGTCTTTCTCAGACAGCTCTCTGGGTCATTAGAGGTGGATAGAAGCTGGCTAAGCAGGAAGAACCGAAATGTTTCTCTCTCAGGGATCTTTTGGCCTTCAGAGGAATCTGGGGGCTTGGCAGCTAAGCACCAAAGCCTGCAGGGCTATAGCAGACACAGCCCAAGGACTCTAGTTAGATACCTGATGAGTGGCAGGGAGGGGACCCCGTCGAGCCAGTATAACTGCTCCCAAGTTAACTAAGTCTTTTAGCTTAGATGCTTCCATGTATGTGTTAAACAGCTAGATGACAGGGCAAATAGAGGGTTGGATCTGAAGTCCAGAACACCTCAGGTTCAAATCCTGCCTCTGAAACTTAGTCGTGTGACTCTGGGTAAATCACTTAAACATTCTCAACCTCCATTTCCTCAGCAGTAAAATGGTAGTAATAAAAGCTCCTGCCTACAAGATTGTTGTGAAGATCAAACACAGTAACACTGTAAACCTTCAAGCACTATGTAAGTGCTAGCTATTATTACCCCGAAAAATTAAGGGAAGAGAGGGGGCTGGTGTCCAGAGGGACATCCCCTCTTTTCTCCTGTTTTTCTATCCAATGAGTATTTTCAAACCAATCCTCCCCTCCCCCACTCCCCCAATCTTGATTGATTGCTTTGTTCCTGTTCCTGAGCGGGCAACCTCTTTCTCTCCCAACACAAAAAAAACCCAAGAGAGAAGATACTTTCTGGCTCCTCTCTTGAAAAATCTATGTGGCCTGTGAGTTAAAAAAAAAAAAAACTCAAGCAAACAAACAAAAACTTTCCCATTTGTCCTTGTCCCTTTCTGAACCTCTCTCTGCTCTCCTCTGTGCATTTTTAATGTTCCACTGACCTTTTTTTGGTATCACTGACAAGACTCACCAACTCTCCCCAGTAACTCTGCTTCCCTCTAGACGAAATGAAGTCCTTCCACGTGGAGGGTAAGTGTAAGCAAGCAGGATAAATCAACCTTGATCAAATCTGGGGAAAAAAAGAAAGAAAGAAAAAAGAAGAAAAGAGAAGAAAAGAAAGAACAAGAAATGAAGAAACAAAAGGAGAATGTTCACATGGCTTTAAGTCAAATGGACGTTCCCTCCTACCATTAGGCAACCGCCACATTGCAAATGGAGAATCACCCTGGACTTGGAGAGGGTGATTGAGCTAGAACTCAGAGGGAGACCAGCAGGCCTCCATGTTAGTGATAGGACCCCAAATAGAGAGCTGCAAAGGACTTTAGAGACGATATCATTGAGTCCCTTCGTTAAAGATTTTTTTTTACATAATTGTTGAAAAAGCCACACTGTCTTCCCATATAAACATCACCGTAGTACTCCTTAATCCTTCTGTTATGGCAATCTCCAGCTTGTTTTTTTGCCAGCACCAACACTTGACCTTTGTAGTACCCTTTTCTCCATTCTGTTCTTGCATTCCTTCCACATCTCCTTGATGCCTTGATGCAGCTAGGCGACCAAGAGAATAGAGCACTCAGCCTAGAATCAGGAAGACCTGAATTCAAATTTGGCCACAGACGCTACAAGCCGTCTGACCCTGGGCAAGTCACTTAACTGCTATCTGCCTCAATTTCCTCAATTGTAAAATGGGGATTATAATAATACCAACCTCCCAGGGTTGTTGAAAGGATAAAATGAGATAATTTTTGTAAATAGCTTAGCATAGTACCTCATGCACAGTAGATAATAAATGCTTGTTTACTTCCTTCTTTCTTTCTCATATCAGTCGTTCCTTTACAAGTCTGTGCTTTGGTTCATTTTTCTTTGCATAGTCAAGAGAATTAAAAATCATGTCAAAGCCTGCTGTTTTGCCATCACCAAAATAGGTTCCGAATCCAAAGATAAAAATGACATCAGGAGCCATCTTGTGCACCCTGGGCTCTTTGGTCTTTCCAGGACGAAGGCCCTTTAGAAAATCATCTTCTGTTTTCTTTGAAGAAGTCTGGTTCTGATGGTCATGTTGTCATTCATGGAGGCAGCTTTTTCCTCCACCAGTAGAGGAAGAAAAACAAGTCTGCTTCGTTTTATAGACAAATAAACTATAGCTCAGGGAGGTTAAGAGATAAATTTGCTTAGTTGCACTGGATATCTAAAATATAATAATGCTGTAGTGAAAAGATTGCTGGATTTGAAGTCAAAGGACCTCCTTTCAAATCCGAACTTTGTCGCTAGTGATCTTGGGAAAGTCATTTAATTTCTATGGGCCTCAGTTTCACCTGCAAAATGATGTCCAACGCCCCTTGCAGCTCTAATGTCTCTCATCCTATGATTCCTATTCCTTATTTGTAGATAATTCATACAGAAGTTGTCCCTGAATTCAAGGGTGTGCTGTTGGATTCACAAGAGCTGATTGTTAGATTTTCAGTATGAGCATTCACACCTTGGAATTTGGCAACTGCTATAAATAAGGGCTTGATTTATTGTTTTGTTTGTTGTCTAAGAAAATGATGGAGAAAATGTTTATAATGCAGGTTTAACTTAAGTGTTTCTTGTGCACATTTTTTCCTGGAAAGCTGGTTGTTAAACATTTACCAGCACCTCCTGTTTGTTTTCTATTTTTATTGAATGATATGTTGAAGGCCTGGTATTGAATAATGTACCATAAGTTTGTTTTGTTGGTGTGCATGAGAACAAACAACATGTTGCAGGGACAGTCCCTTCTCTCCTCATTCCATCCCAAGATGCAGTTCCACACCGCACACAGCCTATGTGATATCTCTCTCTCTAGCTTTTTGAGATAATTGAAATTTTAGACTATTTTGGGGATTTCCCCCCTATATAACATAGGAATGAAAACAGAGTATATTCCAGGGCAGAAGAATGGAAAACATTTTTCCCCAGAAGAACAGACTGGGGTGGCTAATTGCTCTTTTTAGGATGATCCATTAATGAGACACTCAAAATTTAATTACTTAATTTTTCGGTGCACAATCATGCCTTGTATTGACCCTATTTCAATAAAGCTTGCCATTGTGGTAGAGGGCTATGTTCCAAAAGAAGGAAGAGGTGATTTGGGGGTTAGAAGTACCATATTTACTAAGCTGTGTATCTCATCTCTTTGTCCCTTTAAAAATTGCTTTGCCCTTCTTAGAAAGCTTCATAATTTCACTTTCAAGGACACTAGTCAATTCCCTTCCCAAGCCATCTTTTCTCTTCTAGGATTTATCTGCAGCTGGGAGCAATCATAATGATCTATGTCTAGACACTGTTGAATTCCCTCCTAATACTAAGGGTCTAAACTCACCCAGAATATTTCCTCTTTAATTATGCAAGAAGGTGAAAGATTCACACTTCCCGTTTCCATCTATTGGTGGGATGGGCATACTTCCCCAAAGAAAATGTCCTACAGCATGCTTGGTTTTTAATGTTTTCCTTGAAATGAACACTTAGTTTCTGAATAAGTTGTTTACAATTGTTTAAAATTGTAGGTAAACCTATAACTTTAATCTGCCTTCATTTCACTTTTCTGCCATTGTCCCAAGCAAGTTGTGTGTAAGAGATGTGTCGTGCTGAACTCCTTGGCCTTATTCCCTCATTTTCCTCTAATGGTTTCATGTTCTGAGTTTAATTTAACAATGGATTGCATCCCTCTCACTTACAAATCTCCCTTATAATTACTGTTATTAATACCACAATTTTGCTGTAATATCCATAAGAGCACAAAGCTTGTCCTTTCAAAGATGCATTTAGTAACACTGGCTTGCATACATTTCAATTACAAACCTCCCTTATATTTATTGTTGTTAATATCACAATTACTATTGTAATATCCTTAAGACTACAGAAGGTGTCCTTTCACAGATGCATTTACCAACAGCTTTTTCAATTTCCTCTTAAGAAGAATCTTCCCTACTTCATGTAAATTCTGCTCCTCTTATGATTTACATTAGACAGCACACTCCATCAATAAACCCATCATAATGATCTATTGCATTGTAGACAAAAGTTATTGTGTCAAGTTGACACTAATCAGTTAATTCCAGTAAACCTTCAGATAAACAAAAGCTTGTTGTCTATTACGAAGTGTGTGATTAGCACGCCCCCCCCCCAACCTCGTGTCCTATAGCTATGCCCATCTATAGAGATGTATCTGGCAGACACTTGCCCTGAGGCATCTATATGTAAACCAGGACAGGATCTATAGTTAATGATGTTGACCCTGACTCCTCCAACTGAGATTGAATTCAGGTCCTCATAATATCTCGACAGCTGATATGTATACTGTGCTAATAATATTAGCAATTACTTACGCCACTGGGATTCCCTAGGCCCCGTGCTAAAAATGCCACTTTTCACTTTTTTTCTGCATGTGAACACCTTCCCTTAGCTTGCAGCACCACTGCCCTCCATTAGAACAAGGGTGAACGAACTTTGCCAGCAGAGTAGCTTTTTAAATTTTGTTGTTTTTCTGACACATGGCTTTGAAAGTGAAACAAAACCTTCGCCTTTGATAGCCTTGGGCTGGTGGGAGGACCTCCATCCATCTATCTTGACTCTTTCACTATGGGTTTGGTGAAATGAGGAAAAGAGAATTAGTCTGAATATTCTTCTTGTTTAACCTCCCAGGGAGTTTGTGAATGCCACCAAACTTTGCCCAAAGTAATTCTCTCACAAGGAGCCAAGTTTCTTTCTCTCTCCCTACTTGTCTTGATTCACAATTGAGTCAGGATCAGAAACTGTGCTTTGGTTCCTCAGGCTAGTTGCTATATGAGGGAAGAAATGTGAGAACTGAGATCTGCCTCTCTGTCTCTCCCCCCCTTTATTTCTTCCTCTCCCTCCTCCTCCTTTCCCTTCAAGAGCTGAATGGGAAAGACCACAACACACTTACAGGCAATGGGAGAGCTTGGGATGAAATGATGACAGGGGCCATGGTTAAAAATTAAATTCGGCCTTATTTTTTGTACAATTCTTGTGAGTCACATTTGCGAAGAGTAGCGAGAGATTTAATGATCGCATATTTTTTATCTTATTTCCCTTCGGGTCGATGGCAATTTTTTTCTGTTAATGTCTTCTTAGAGCTCAAAGTAATTTAGTAATTGATTCAAAGCACGGCAGTTCGCCAATGGCAGCTCTCGGTGCAAGGGAATATCTTTGCTAATTTTATCCATCAGAATGAGATTACCATGCTAATCTCTCCCAGCCTCTGTGTCTTGGTCATTTGGGACATGCTGATGCAAATGACGTTATTAAACACAAGCCCTTCGTCCATTTCCAGGACCAGGGAAAGATGAAAGGAAGCCAAGATAGGAACATTATAATACCTCTAAGATGACACAGATGGCATGCATGCTTAATACTGAAATGATAAGATACTAAATTGGAAATCCTTGTAAAAACTAGTAGGCACAAAGAAATAATACAATAGACCTGAAGAGATTAGACAGATTGATAATAAAGAACAAAGAGAATTAAGGGAGAAAATGCAAACTGATGCATTAGGGGAACTGTAATTGAAAACATAAACATAAATTGGCCCAGGAAACCCAGAAAATAGCTAATGTAGGTTTTGGGAAAATGGAGTAAGATCAAGCGGTGAAAATCCAAATGACCCTGGTAACAAAAAAGCTGAAATTGTGTTTACATGTACTATCTGTCTAGCTGGGATTTCCCCCCTTAAATTGATTGATCTAGTAACTAATTTTTGGACTAACTGTTGAATAACCAGCTAGTTATTTCAATGGAAATGATCAAAGTGGATGTATGAATACTTAAAAATAACTTGAAACTCCTTTGGATGGCAGATATATAAGTGGACATTGTGGACATGTCTCAATAGGATAAGATGCTGGCAAAATCAAACTTCCACAAACTTTCTAAAAGTTCACTGATTTTGTAAAGACACTTAATCCAATCTCTTCATTTTACAGTTGAAGAAACTGAGGTTTAGCAAAGTTAAGTGATTTGGCCGAGGTTACATAGGTAGTAAATACTGGTGGT